CCAAATGGCTGAAAGCTGAAATGAGAGTTTCCTGTTTTAATCATAAGGCACACATATTAAATTGTTCATTTCCAAAACAGGTTCAAAGAATCACAACAGTCTCTAGAATAATTTAAATATCGTCATTTCTGGAAACTCTAGTTCTGTGCAGCACCTACCCAAGTAAATCTGCAAACTACCAATGTTATCAACAAACCAGATTCTTTCTTATATGACTGGTAGAATTCCATATTGCAAGTACTATTCTGAGAACCAAAGCTACTGTGCAAAGAGGGAGCAATTACATCACCTGGTCTAAGAAAAAATACATCTTTCCACTAAACTGCTTTGCTTCTACCAATAGACCACCATTATTATAATATTATTACTAGTTATTATTGAATGTATATAGGTGATGAAACCCTTTAAAAGGTACTATCTTACTTTAAAATATTACCACTGTGTATTTTATCATCTTATTTCATTAAAAAACCCACAATTCTGCATTTATTCGGCATACCACACAACACAGTGATTTTCAAATGCACATGTACCATTTTTACTCAAAATGGGAAATGCTTAGCCTATTGAAACTTGTATTTACTAGAATTTTCCAAAATTACCTGAAAAGTCTCTAAGTCCTCCACAAAGCGAAGATTCTTCTCTTGAATTTAGTTATACACCTTGGATGCACTGAATCAAACAAATGCTTGCAAACAAGGTAACAACACAGATATTAGGTCTTGATCTTTGGTCTCTAGAAGAGACTATAAAATATGCTGTCGTAATAGATAGTAAGTACTAATCAAAAGTTTAAGTTAAAAGAAGGGAATATTATCCCATAAAAGTGCTGCTGGAAAAATAAAGCCCTCCAAGACTGCTAGATTTAGACGGAATCTCTAAGTGTCTGTGATTTACACAAATCTAACAGTGGGGAAAGTAAGTCACGTGAGACCACAGAACTACTGATCTCATCTTGTGCAAAAGGAACTTGAAGATTTCTAAAGTAACAAAAATGTAGTCATGAAACTGAACTGGGGGAATCTACAGTAATCACTGAAAATTAATAATATGTTTATACTTTTATAATCAGATGCCAAACATTTGCCTTTAAATGTCTGTTGCTGTACATATTATATATATTTGTATAGGTGTATGTATACACACATACATGGGGGCTGATATACAGGTGTGCAAGTGACAGAGACTGAAATACTATAGTTGTTGACTTAAACATTTTCATGAAGGACTTTTATAACTGTATTACAAAAGCTGCACAGAATACCACCACACTCTGAATAGGCCTTCAGAGTGAGGCCTGGACCATTCACTGATGAAGGTAAGATAAAACTCAGGAACTGGAGACATTCACAAAGCACAACCTTAGCACTTTTGGGGAGAACACAACAGCTGCAATGCTGATCAGACCCTCCCACCAAAGGGGGTTGGGGGGAGAGACGTGCAGTGTGCAGACCAGCTCAGCTGAGGGGAAAGCTTATCCGAAGCTGAAGGAGGTGACACGACCCATCAAATCTGGAGACTCCCAGGGGTCTCCAGACCCTGCACCACAGCACCTGAGACGACGCAACAGACCTTCAGTGTTGCAAAGGACAATGTCAAACTGGACCCCTGCAAGTGGGGCAAAGCATGTATTTATCCACAGAATTATGTACTCCTCAGCATGTGTCAGCATGGCATGGGACCCTCACCACCAAGAAGACCAGATGGAAGGGAGCAACAAGGCCACATTGGGACCCTTGGATGGGTGATATGATTCCACCTAACTCCTGTCACTTTCCCCACACCCCCCACAAGTACTTTTTTTTCCTCTTTCTCTTTTCTCTCTTTCTTTCTTTCTCTTTTCTTTCTTTTTTTTCTTTCTGCCTCTTCTACTATTAAATAAAGTACATCAATTTCTTGGCACCAACATCTAACCTTGTTTGGTTTTAATCCCATTTTTTGGTATATTTTGAACCCCCCAAGTTCTTTCCAGTTTACACACAGAGAGTTAATTTTCTTTGCTTTTCTGGGTTTAAGCCAGATCATAACAGCATGTATACCTTATTCACTCAGATTGTTTTTTTTTCTTTTCTGGCAGAACTGTGTGATTTGTATTTCACCCACTTAACTTGATGCTTTCAACTTAAAACATCTCCTCCTGTGGGAAGAATGAGAAATTCAACCATTGGTGCAAATGTTTCAACTATATTTGGATTTTTTTTTTAATCAATGGCAAGAATAATACCCCAGCTACCCATCTTATTCTTTATTACCTCAAACAGATTTTTTTACCTCAGTTTTGAAAAAATGTAGATCAACAGCAAGAAGGGAGGCCAAAAAACATGCTTACCTTTTCTTCACATTTCCTGTGGCAGGCATACTTGCAAACTAAAACAAAACAAAAAAAAATTAAAATAGTAAGTGAATTGTCCCCTCCTTTTCTTTACATCAGCTTTCTGTAAGAGACCTAGCCAAACTCAACTCTATATCTCTAAAAGTATTTACATCAAAACAAAATTAAAAGAAAATATGCGTTTTACCTTTCATCTATTCATGAAAGACTAGTTAATTACAGCACTGTTGTCCGATTTGTGCATTCTATCAGCTAACGATACCACATATCTGGTTAAACATCATGAGCTGAATATCTTGACACCTTTAAAGCTTCACATATACTGGAAGTGTTACCATTTACATAGCACAGATAGTAAGATGAAATTGCTCCCAGTGTAACCTCTGAATCTTAGTCATATCAGCAGGCCCAGAGATGTAAGAAAAGCAAGTTAACTTCAAAGTCACAGGACAGCAGTACTAGCCAGACTGTAATTTGATTATTAAATTCAGGTTATACAGTGTTGCAAACATTACTTTCAAGAAGTGAGCACTTGATTTCTTTTAATTTACTTCTTCTTAAGAGCAGGAAAGGATGAATTGTACTAGCAATTTTAGATTCAGGAAACAGCATTTAACTTAAAAAGCAGCCAGATGAGCAGTGATGTAACTGTGATGCAAAGCACAATATCTAGAATCTGACACAAGCTGTTTTAAATTTGATTTTCCATATGCACTTCCTCCTTTATTCTGAAATTTGCTTTAATACCATGCAGTGTCTATCCTTTGGGTTACCATCAGGTAAGCTGTATTTTAAATTCAGGGAAAATTTACTTATTTAATCTCCAAGACTAAGCTGCAGAATACAATAGAGGTTTAACTGCAAGATTAACTGGGGCATAACCTCAGACCACTGAAGCTGAAAGCCATGTTTGTATCTCTGTGCTTCCTGACCCAACAGGAAAGATAAAACTACCAAGGTGTAAGGTCAGCAAATTCTCATACTCATTCAAGTGCAACAACTCATGAATGAAAAGCCCTAATGCCCCAATCACTGCTCAGGGGAAAAAAAGTAAGGCTTACTGACACATCTTCTATTCTATCTTGTACATGTGTCCTGGTAGAGGGCAGATTTGGGAGAAAATCTCCAAAAGGGGTCCACCAGAAAGCAAACCCACATGGCCCCTCTGCTCAACTGGTTCGGGAAAAATTTAGTCAGAGAGAAGTGGAAAAAACCTGTTTATTTAAACAGGAAAAGCACTCCCCAGCACAAAAAAAATTAACAATACCAGATGACGAAACTCATTCGCTGCTCTGAAGAGATGAGAAATTCAGAAAGACTCTCCTGTGGGTGGTCATTCTGTTATAATTTTCTCCAGCACTGGGAAAGGCTGCTGCCCAGAGCAGGCCCCAGCAGGCCACAAGGTACAAGCTCTCAGTGCTCCCCAGGTCCCAGTTCTGAGCAGGTTCAAACAGTTCCAAGAAAAGGGAAAGAAAACCCTTTTCTAGGAACTGTTTATTTATTCAGCATACCACACAAAACTTTTCTGCCTCAGCTATCTAAACTAACTAAAAAGCAAAAAACTGTTCTGCCCTCTCCGTGCCCAGACAACACAGTTCAGCAGAATGTGGAGGAGTAAGTGCAGGCTGATAAATTCTTCTCCCTTCCTTTGCTCTCAGAGCCAGTCTTGAAGGCACAGGATATAATATCCAGCATGAACAGAACACACGTTTGGGGATACAAGCATCATAATGTCACCCTAGGACAACATGCTATGTTCATTTATTTTCCCCACATAGAAGCAAGTTCTTTGTTCATAGTGCCTTACAGGATCAAGTTTCTTTATTTTCAAAATATATTAACATTCACACAAATACACTATTAGCATTGATAATTATATATACCACCTAAAAACTCTATCAACCTTAAAGCAAATGGAAGACTTTTCATAAATCATGAGGAAAAACTCAATTTTCTTGCATGACAGCATAGGGGATAAATGGCTAAATTCATTAAATTATTTCACATACCAAAACTGTCAGTTTTTTAGAAGAATCCATACTTTACATCAGTATGGTTTATTGGCAATGGAGGGAGGGAGACTGAGAGGTGATCAAAATCTCTTTATTGTGGACTACATATGCTTATGTACTATTCCAGGAAAGCTAGTAATTTTTTACTACAATGATTGGGTTAATCATCACATCAACAAACTTACACATTTTGCAACACCTCTTGCTTGTAGAAGTCTTGATGTAATCTTCTTTCTTGATTCTATCTTCTTGCTCTGATTGTTCTTGCCAAGGTATTCTGATTATCACATCTCTTATGCTAATCAGGTCCAAAGTACAGTGATTAGCTTTAATTTTGAAAAAGGATAAAAAATGCTCTAAAAATATACATATTACTTCTTTATTCTATAAGCTACTTTGAGATTTCCTCCAAAAATAAAGATAACCACAAAAAAAGTACATAATAAAATGGTGAATCTGTCAGAAAGGCCTGATATTACAGATAAGGTCTCATCTACTTTATAGGTGCTTAGACCTAGATTCCTGTGAGGCAAGAAGAAATATAAAACAGATTTAATTCCATGACAACTTCCATTATTTTGCTACTGGTTCATGTAAAACCAAATCACAAATATCACCAAAACACAAAGTCTCTATTAAAGTTGTTGATAACTAAATGCAAGCATTGATTTTTTATTTTTTTTTAAAGTTTTCATGTACAAGCAAATCAGCTTTTTCTGCACTTGTGTAACACAACAGCTCTTACAGTTTTTTTCTGGAAACAAATCACTCAAGTCAGATGTAAACTTAGTCATCAAGTTGCTGTCAAGGTTAAGTCTTTCAGAAGCTTCAAGAAAAACTGTCCCAAGCTGGCCAGCAGCAAAATAGAGACTAAGCCATATTTAGTCAATTTACTGCACTTCAAAACAGCTCCTAAACAACAGGGAGAAAAAGGGAGTAAGGGTATCAAAATGAAGATGTGTTAACTCCTGCAAGTTACCAGTATTGCTGCCAGGGTAAAGAGAGAAGAATAAGCATAGTGAATCATATTTTTTAGACTTAAGCTCCAAAGGTTTTGAAAAATGAAAGTTCTGCTTCTTACATTCTTGTGTGTAAGAAGCGAAGACCACTAGCAATGTATTTACAAAGCAAGAAACTACTGCTGTAAACAAACCGCAGAATGATTTATGCTTTACCAGGAGAAACTTTTCTCTGTCTGGTAAGGGCTCTGCACCTTGACACATTTAAGTATTTAATGGACTTATGTTATGGCAATGTTTCACATATTCCATCACAATGCACACATAGTGAATATGGCTGGTTTATAAAGACAACCATGCACTTAATCACAGCTTTTATCAAGAGATCCTCTGTGATAGGTTTTTGTGTGTTTGTTTTTAAACCCCACCATGTATGGAAAGGGTAGAAAAAAGATAATTCAGGAGTACTCTTGGGGTAGAAACTTGCATATTAGTAGAGAATCAAAGAGATGTAACCCAGTTTAACACCTTTCTAATCCCTAACAAAAATTTTTGTTCCAAAAACATACACCAGACAGGCCTGGATATTCATTTTTAACTTCCTGGTGACTAAAAAAACTGGGATACCAAATCAAAGGCCTAGATGTCTGAAAGATGCTTTCTTTCCCTCAGCAACTCCAATTCAACAAAACAGACACATGCTATTAAAGATAGATTTTGACAGTAATAGAAGAGTTCTCGAAAATTCACAACAGAATGTAATCTAAACCAAGCATATAAAAAGATTCATGTAATCAAGACTAAAGTTTTATAGTTCCAGACTTCTCTCTTAAATACCAGCACAGATGGATGTCAGAGGGTAATAGAAATGGTAGAGCCCAGCTATTTTAATATGAAGTCTAGTGATACTGCTACTGACCAACAGCTCACACCTGCAGGAAATATCATGCACAAAATATCAGGACTGTCATTGGCTGTGAAGAAAATTTATTTTCTTTTTGTTAAAATAACTTGATTTGGTTTCTAAAAATGCAAATTATGGTCACCACAACATAATCTCCTTGGGGTAGAGAAGGAGAAGAGGCCATTTTTTGACCAAAATCTCCCAAATGCCTAATGGCTACAGCAAACCGGTCTGGTTGAAATGGCTTTGTGGATGAAATGTTGCTACAAGTGCAGTCTACCAGCTATTTTTATTTCAACAAGTGTTTAATAATGTTGTGATCAGATTATGAGAAAAAAAAAATTCTGCTGACCTGCTCCTACCAACTTTGCAACAATTCAACTCAAGAAAAAAATCAAAAGAAAGCAGCATGAAAATCAGACACACAGAAATTAAGTGCAACATTAAAAATAAATTGGTATGCAATTTCGTGTGAGGCAGTTTTGTGCATTTCTTTTCCCAGCCCACTTTGTGTAGAGGGTGGGATAAGTATAGCCTAGCTGGAAATATTAGTCATTAGATGCAAAAATAAACACTTCTATTTTTAAGAAGTTACCAAAGCCACATGCCAAAGATCTCACTACTCTAACAGCCACATTACAGCAACATCTGCTGGTGCATTTCCTGTGCTTCAAATATTATCCTTCATTTTCTTTTGTTCTTTTTCTCATATTCAGCCAACCACTGTCTCGTCATCTGAATATTGCTCCCACTACTTCATGACAGTGCCATTGTTTTTGAAGAGAAGACTGTAGTGGTACTGGTTCGCCAATCTGAGTTTCCCAGTCAATACACCAGTATATGTAGTGGTTTTAGTGCTGGTCAAACAGCAGTGTACCCACTAGAAATTATTTACTCATTTCTTGCTGTGAAATATGGATTAGGAGGAAGAGAGTAAAACAGGTTCAAAACTTTAAAGGGTATGAAGAAAACTTAATTAACAGAATTAAAGAAAAATTATAAAAAAATCAGAATAAACCTTCAGAACACTTCTCTCCCCACACCCTCTTTTCTTTCCCACCAACAATGTAAAGAGACAAAACCTGGAATTTTCAATCAGTTTACCACCTCTAAAAATAATCTTTCTTCAGTCCACTCAGGAGAGGAGTCGCTCTTGCCATGCTATGGAGACTTCTCCACAACAAACAATTCTCTCAGCAGTCTTGGCTTCCATGTCACAGCCAATCAGCCACGTGGGTAAGGAAAATCTGTTCGCAGAAACAGTGTGAAAGTCCCTCCCATGTCTTGCTGCTTTCATGGGCCATGTCAACTTACAGGGTACTAATTTTAAGGATGAGCTGTTTTAGCATAAAAACAAAAGTTCTATTATTTTACCTCTGGGAACAAGGTTTTTCTTCTTCTATCTCATCTCTCTCTGTTCAAGCTTCTTGTTAGATTAGAGCTTTTCAGCATCCACACACTCCAGCATGAGTGCCCTTTCTTCATGGGCTGCAAGTGAATGCGGCATCCCCCCATGTACTTCACAAATTACAGGCAAAAAACAAAGTCAGATATATCAAAAATTTATGTCTTCACCATAGCCTCATCAAAGAATTTCAGTCCAAGACTAAGGCATCTCCTCAATCCTCTCCCATCTAGAATTTGATTTGCCTCTTTACTGACATCAGTGTCTCACACTGTTTTCCCTACATGTCTTCACCTTTTCCTCTTCCTGATTCGGGAGAGTATTGGTGTTCATAGGTTCATTTGTTCTCAAGCTTTATCAACTGAAACAGTTTTTATAGAGTTTTATAGCACTCAAAGGTTGATCTTATCCAGGCTCTGCATCAGGGAAATTGCTGTGTCTTTCGCTGCTATTGATGTGGTCTCTGCCGACACCGTGCAAACCTTGGCAGCTGTTGGCTTTACTTAGCGCTTTTCCTTCACTCAGAGTGCCAAAACCAAGAAAAGCTGCTGCTGACAGTTTTGTCCTTCTGTCCATAGTATGGCTCACTAAAAGTGGCTAAACAAACAAAGTCCATTATGAGCCACGCTGAGGCAGCCATGGCTGCGTGCCTTTGTCCCAGTCATGCCAATTTCATCTGCACAGTCTCGGCCCTGTGGCCCCTTCCCAGTCCAGGCTGGTGGCAGCCACACAGCCACCCCAGATCCGGCCACTCCTGGCCTCAGGGCTGCAGCCAGCGCCAACCATGGGACCACTCCTTGTGCTGGTCCCCACTGCATGGTTGCTCCTGGTGCTGATAAAGCTTCCGGCCAGCATGGCACAGCGGCACCAGTAGAACAAAGGACTAGCAGGCTTCACTGGGAAGGGGCCCAGCCCTGCTGGGAAGGGCCCCAGCCGCCTGCCAGGATGGGGCCCAGCAGGCTCCTTGGTGAGGGGCTCAAAAGCCCATGCACCATCCCTCATAGGGCAGAAATCTCAGCTGTGCTGTGGGCGAAGCCAACCTGGCCACACAGCACCAGCCCAGCCACGCAGGCGTGGCCCAGCCCTGCTCAACCTGGTCCCACAGGGCCAGGTCAGCCAACTACCTCCTCAAAAGCCAGAAGCCAAGAAAGCTTTCCCTGATGTTTGTAGTTTTAAAAAGTGCTTTTCCACAGATGCGTATTCACCTCTTTGAAGTGGTTTAACTGGATCTCAGTCTTCAAACCTGGCCAGATGATTGGTTCTTCAAAACTAGCCAGCTCGTTGGCAACACCAGGCTCCCCACAAGGAACCACCTCCCCCAACTGAAAACCAGACTTTCTTAAACCATGACCAGGCTAACAGACAGTTATGGGAAATTTGTGCAGAACTTCAGCATTTTGATGGGGGGCAGGGGTGGGGGGGGCAATGCAGAGTTGTGAATGAACCTTCCCACAGATGAAATATTCCACTTGCTGTTGCCAGCAACAGCTGTGGAAAATCTTTATAAAGAAAAAAATATTTTGGTCCTACAGCTGCAATAGCATGTCCTTTCTTTTCCTTTACTCCCACCTTCTTCCTGTCCTGTAGAAAAATCTTGACAACAAAAGGTTTACAAAGGCAGAACAGTAGTAACAATAAAAATGTTTTAACATTTAAAAAAATACACTGTTAATTTCTCGGATCTTTTTAAAGGTACACTTGCCTGTCAATTAATCAACCTTACTCCAGTTTAGAAACAAAGGTAATTTTTAGACCTCCTTCCTCCAGCTAAAAAGATAAACCCATGTTGCAACATTTCATCCACAAAACCTTTCCAACAAGACTGTGGATTACTGTAGACAGCAACTCACATGAAACCCAAAAAATGGCTGGACTGTCTCCGGGTTTTTCTTCTGTCTTCAGCTGCAGACAGTCTAAGATCTCAAGAGCTTGCATGTCTGTGATGGATCTTGAAAATACCTCCTGCATAAATTATGCTAAGAGCAAGGATCAAAGAAAAATAAAAAGAGATCAGCTTAAAATGGGTGATCTCCAAAGTAAGTAAGAAGGCAGATGTTGCTAGATTATGTGGGTAAAACCTTATGGACCTGGAGGTTCTGATTCACAGTTGTTCTTAAAGCTCATACAAAAAATGCAACAAAGACCACCAACAGATGAAAATATAATATGGGCTACGAAAAAGAAATCATCAATATGATATGCTGTGTCCTATAAGGAAGGCAGGAGCTTCTCTTAAAATGGAAAATGCAAACGCCCTCCCTTCAAATTATAATAATTTTGAAATTAAGGGACTCTCCGGTAAAGATATGGGAGTAGGAATAACAGTTCTTTATCAGGAAAAAATAAAAATAAAAATGCAGTAATAAAAAACAACACCAACAGAGTCAGAATATGACCTGACACCCTGTTGGTCAGAGTGTTCGTAGCAGTCCGATTAAATGGTGGCTGCAGTCCTACTGCAGTGACAGATGTGGTTCCGTTGAAGCAGTGATCCTGTAGAAGGTGTAGTTTTCCTCTGAAGGTCTAGTGGTGCTATAAGATGGGCCTGGTCTTCCCCTGGAAATCCAGTAAAAAAGGCTGACTGTGGTGTCCCAAATATGAGATTATATTCAGGCAGGAATGCCTGGCTCCTCCCCCTGGGTGGAGCATCTCACAATGGGATGATGAAATTTTATCAGTCATGCAGTGAGACTCAATGGCCCATTAACAGCAGGTACTTTCCAGAGGGAGGACTGGTTGTTGAAGAGCGAAGACAACTGCCCCACCTGGTTTTCAGTGGTGGCCCAATTAACAGAAGATAACTGCCCCACCTCTAACAGATGGCAACAGAATACACACCTCTAGCCACATCTTGCATTTCCAACCTAAGACATATGCTTATATAATCAATATGTTACGCTTGTAGCCTGCCTTAGGGTCTTGAAGCTTTCTTTATGTACCAAAACAAACTCTTCAGTATTACAATTTTCTTCATCCACCTCTTTAAATAAATTTTATCTTCCTATACATTATTTCTGTCTCCCATTGTAGTTGTTCCCCTGGTCCCACCCCTTGTTCTGAAGAAAATTAGAAGGGTGAAGTTGTTTTTGAAATGCATCAATATTACTTTGAGGTTCCTCTCCTCTCATAGCATATGAATTTTGTCACATTCACATCATATACTCTAAAGATACTAGCATTTAATTTCAGATTTTCCCATTAGAGCAGATAATTGATTTCCAATTGCCCTTAGGAATTTTATGTTCCCTTCAAGTGGGCTAAGCTTATAAAATTGCAGGAATATCAGATGAAATAGCCAATAGTCATTGACTTTGCTGGCAAAAACTGTGGGGTGAGGGATCAAATTTACTTCTTATATAATTATTTATTGGCCATAATAAAGAGAAGTTACAGCTTTTTAAAAACCTTAGAAGCACTAAGGTTAAAAGTAAGCTTTAAATGTTAACTTTAAATTAAATAATCACAGATCAAATTCTTGTATCATTAAGTTGGTGCTTCTGAGGTAAACAAATAGGGAACTCAGGTTCTACAGACAATTTTTTTGAAACATCATGTAACAGCTGTGAACAGTAAGTATTCCACAGAGGTCTTTGCCTTGTGTATTTTTTATTTTTAAGTTAGTAGGAACTTACCTCAGAAATTTTTGCCAAAATTCCTCCCCTCTCCCCGACTTTTTACTAAGGTACAAATATTCCATCAAAGGATGTCAATTTTACTGTCACTCTCAGCTACAGAGTGGCTGTGTTCAGCCAGAATGCTTATGTACCAGTTGTGTAGTGCCTACTGATTACAGTGGCTTCTTTTGTATCTCTATATGCTCCAGTACGTCTTTAATCATCATTCCCTTTCATGTCTGTGTTGTTGTTATGCACAAAACTTCCACGGTGAGCATAGTTTCCATGTCTCACTAGCTAAACTCTGAAATATTAATGCATATCTTGAGGAATTGTGTTAGAGTACATTTTACTAATCCAGTGGAACTTGCTATTTACTGGGTGCAACTTTTTTCTAGGGAAGAGGGGCTGACAATCCCAACCTTCTAATGCCACAGATGGGCTGCAGTCCACATTTCTTTTTTCATTCTCCTTCTTTCTAGGACAGTACACTCTGTGTCAGTCATATCCAGGTCAACATCCACCCATTTCTGAGGGGTCACTAAAAAGCTTCTCTGCTTCAGTTAACACAGTCTCACTTGGACATCTTCACAAACAAGACTGACAGTCAAATGAAATTTTACAGCAAGAACCTGGGTCCCAACCTAACTCAGCCTTGCTTGGGCAATTTGTAATCTCTCTTCCTTGGAGTTTACCAGAGCTGTAAGTTATTAATCTGCTATAGGGACAACAACAGACCATGCCATTTGGTCTGTTGCATGTCCTGCTTTAAATTTGGAGGTAATTATCAGTTAATCAATTTGGAAAATAGTATGGTTTTCTGGTTTGATTTCTGCTGTTTCTTGGTGAGTCTAAACCACACACACAAGAGATTCAAAGCAATCTTAAAACAATCCCGCAGAAGACAATCTGATTTGCTGGATCAGTCCTCAAGAAAACATATAAGTGTACAAACACCACACAGAGAGCAAACAGTGATATGATGAAAATCCCCTTCAATTTGATGACAATCTTTTCATTCTCTCAAAGACTTCCCATGTTATAACATCAACATGAGTAGACAGGTATGCCTGTTGCCATAACTAATGATCTTATGGTTAATCAACTAATGCCCATTGCCATAGTTAACGAGAAGGTGGTTTAGTTATGTTGAAGTTACAGTGTGTGTATCTATATATATATATATATAATAGATAGATCTCATAATACACCCATGTAAACACCTTACAGAACCTTAATTCACAAAGATCACTCAATGGAAATCAGACTGACACAAACACTCCTATCTCACTGCAATCTTTGCTATTTAGAGCCAACTGTAATGCCACTAACCGAAGCAGGATACAAATTCTTGCTTTCTAGTTTGGCAGTTCAAATTCAATTTCAAGCTTTCTAGTGTGTCTGTCAGGACTCTAACAAGAGACATTCTTTGCACATTATGAAGATGCTTGTAAGTTATTACTGATCTTAACACTTACTGAAAACCAGGGTATATAAAACCACCTGCAATATAATAACATAAAATTAAATACACATATATTTAGACACAGAGTATGCCCAAACAATTTGTCATGTCCATATGAGTCTTAATAAAAAAAACGTATTTTGACTTGCCATAAATTTGACAAGCAATGAATTTGATTAAATTCAGAGGGCTTTTTCAATTGAGTAACTCCAACTAACCCAAAAGCAAGATATTAAGTGGATCACTAGCCAACCACAAGCACAGTCACAAACAAGTGAATTTCAAAAGAAAATATCAAACCTCTTAAAGAAGAATTGCTCCAATTGTCTTCAAATCTTGATCTATGGTCTGTAAGTATGTGAAAGCACTTGATTAAACACAGATATTGCAATTTGATGAGAATATAGTTTCTATCATTAACCTGCTCAATGAAATAGTCCAGGACTTACTTACTATAAGCCAATTAACAAATGAATAAGACACATGTTAACACAATTTACAATTCACATTTAAAGATGGATAATATCTTACAAATAAGACAAGAAGATAAATTGTATTCTTTATTACACTCAGCTTGCACATAATATCATCTTAAGCATTTCTCTGCTCACAATAGCTAACAGCACATACCAACATAATTTGACACCTCCAGCTTACACTTATACAAGGTTTAAAGTAAGAAAGTATCAAAGGAAGAAAGCAAAACTCAAATGTAGTCAAAGCATCAAGGAAAAAGGTTTCAAAAAAATAAAAAAAACCAACAAACACCTAAGACAGAGGAACTAAAATTCTACAAGAACTCCTATTTGGATCACTCTAACATATATATTTCCAAAACAAGCACATTCATAGCTACATTAGATTAACAAAAAGATACTCAATTCATTCAAACAACCATTCATTGCTTCAAGTTCAAAAATTAGCTTATGGAATGCTTTGTATTGCATGTAAAGCCACACTAGCAGCTAAACCTAAACTAGGTAACTTAACTGTCAACTGGAGATAAGGGGAGTTTCATCAAAAGACATTTATACAGTGTTTCAACTTTTCACATATATTTCACCCATCACATCAATGTTCTAAGAGCTGTGAAATTACACTTTATTATTTCAAATTACTCACATCTCCCAAATCTGGTCTCCATTTTTTTTAATTGCCAAGAAATCTAGAGATTCAGAGCTCTCTGTTCTACACTAAAAATTATTTAGTCACAACACAACAAAGATAAATAATAATTTTTAAAAGGAAAGGAAAATAAAAGAAATTTTAGCACCTATTTTATAAATATAAAATATAAAGTAAAAATAATAAAATAGAAATCCACTTGTAAGGACAGAAATTACATCCTTATGACCACTTGTTTACTGTTGGAACCTGTCACATTCATATTTTCTGAAAAATCCCTTTGCCCAGGATTTTTCTTCTGGGAAGCTGAGAAGCCTTAAAGAAAAAGGAAAACAATTTTATCTCATTTGCCTTGCCTGTGTTTTGCTCCTTTGGAACGTGTTTGGAGATTGTTTACCAACAGGTGGTTGTTTCATTGGGTTTCTAATGTGAATTGTTTTGACTCAATGGCCAATCAGGGTCAAGCTGTGTCAGGACTCTAGAGAGAGTCACGAGTTTTCATTATTATTATCTTTTTAGCCGTCTGTAAGTATCCTTTCTGTATTTTTTAGTATAATTTAGGATTCTTTAATATAATATAGTATCATAAAATAATAAATTTTATAAATAAAAAAGCCTTCTGAGAACATGGAGTCAGATTCATCGTTCCTTCCTTCATTGGGGCACCCTGCAAATACAATAGGAAACCTGTTGCACAGGGAATATTTCTCTGCCTGTCCTGAGAAGTCCTGATACCCAGGAGAACACTGCTTTCCACCTTCAAACATGGAGGAAGCTTCCAACACTCTGGGATGAATTAAAGTCTATGAGTGTGTGATAGTTGTATAGTTTATCACAGGGTGAAAAACTTAAGAGTTGTGGGTTTTTAGTATGGAGGTAGATAGAAGACAAGACGGAAGATTTTGGGCATTGTCTGAAATCCTTCTTGCTCTTCATCTACTCTATTTTCTGCAGTGTTGGTAGCACAGAGGGATTGGTTAGAAAAAAACACAATGCAGATGTTGCATGAACAGATAAATAATTAGTTATTGGTAGAAAGGAAGAAATAAAATATGTTCTATTTTGGACAAAATAGCTTTAAAAAGACCTTGAACCTGTGTGCCCTGTGACTTTTGGTGCCTTCTTCTTGTATGCCAAGTCTGAGATATGGACAGTGTGCTGAACTTTTGATAAGAAAAAAAATAAACAGCAACTTGAAGACCAAAAAAAACCACAAGTCCCATTTGTCTCTCAATACTGGCACAGAACATTTTAGGGGTTTCCCCATCAGGGGGATCCTCAGCAGGGGGTTCTACATTTACAAAGAAGGTAAAATAGTGAACATTCAACATTTGGGGTAAGCTTAAAAAAAAATCAAAAAGCTCCTGTAACTCTAGTGGCCTTTTGCTAACTATGTAAATGTGCAAGATTATTATGTATTATTTGCTTAGCCATGAATTAAATTATACTGTACTTCAGGGAAAATCAAACCAGAACATTCAAGTTTGAGGTAGTGCTGAAGAGACATGGGGAGTTGTGCAGTCCTGGGCTTACTGCAAGATATGCAGGTACTGTCCAAATCAATCCACAACTTTTTGTCCTTCATAATGAGAATCTGTATCAAAGACAAACATGCTTACCATGCAGAAGAACAGCCAGGAGCTTCCCCTCCTTCAACTCTTTCCTTTTTGCCACTGCTTTTGTAAAAAAAAACCTGTAACTTTTATGAATGCTTTACTGGGACAGAATGAAAGTTGTCATGGTTTGACCCTAGCACAATGCCAGGGCCCCCATGGCAGGTGTATTTCCAAAATGGTTACTGTTTCCACTCACCACTGGATCAAAAGAGGAAGTTCTCTGGGAATCTTCTGCGTTTAACCCCTGTGTGTTCTCAGAGGCGTATCCAAATCCTCAGTGGCCACCCACAGGTGCCAATTTCAAATCTGGCCACTGATTGGTTTGACCACAACTTTTCCAGAAACTCACTTCTGGGCCAAACCACGACAAAAGTATAAAGGGACACCATTCAAAGGCACCTTTCATTCAAACATTCATTGTTCACAATAAGTTTTTACGCACCACATTTACAAGACAGGGCTAAAAAACACACCCCCAAAATGAGTACCACATACTACTAAAAAGCTATACAACACCCACTCACAGCTTTTTTATCCAAAACTGACTTAGATATAGACACAGATGTATCATAGACATGAATGTATTTGAATGGGGAGTGTGTTGGAAGGAAGTAGTATTTAAAAGACACATCAATGTGGCCCTTTAGGACATGATTTACATAGTGTTATACTTGGACGTGATGGGTTAGCACTTAGACGCAACGATGTCAGAGGTCTTTACCAGTCTAAATAATTCTATGAATCAAAGTTCTGATTCTCTCCTGATAGAGTAATTTTTACACTGAAGCTGATCAAGAGGGTCTTTAGGCAGTTCCTTCACTGAACAGTCTTCCTTCCAAAATTTCTGCTAAATTGAAAACAACTAAATCGTAAGAGCTTGGGAACCAACCTCCAGAACGACAGACAGAATAAATTTTTAAAGAAATGCACACATAATTACCACTACAATGATGATAGCTATAACGCCGAATATATAGCTGTTCTATGGTGCAGTCTGTACCACAGCTCAAAAAATGGCCACATTCCTTCCACATCCTCTCATACTTCCCTCTCAAACCCTCAGAGGGATCCTAGGTGTCTGAAGAATACAGAAGGGTGGAGATGGGAGAACGAGATCCAACTAGAACCTGAAGTTGGTGCAAACACCTCTAAGTGAAAACAGCAACCACTTTTTAAATGAACAGACAATAACACTCATTCTAGGAAGTAAACCATGCATATAGCAAGCAAAGAAACTCTTGATTAACATAACAAGAATAACAAGTGTCAAACATTAAACAGTTGGAACCAGGGGATCAAAAGCCCTATCCCTGGACAACCTGCAGCAAAGACCTATTAAGCTTTCCCAATATTTAATTTTATCACAGGTGAGCCCATGGAGAAGATGGAAGGATGCACAATTCTACACAGCAAGAGAGATGAGTGAGGGAAAACAGCATCAAGGTGCAGGTAGGAATGCCGCAGGCAGAAAGTCTCTAGTCTGTGTTATCCAGGAGATCTTCATTCTTTCAGTGAGTGATTAGACAGAGCATAATGCAAATGGAAAAATTAAAGTAAATAGACAACTGCTCTTGTGGTTTTTTTTTTTTACAAATTAACACAGATAAATCCTTCATGCCTTAGGGAGCAAGGGGCATACACTTCCTCATTTGTAGACTGAATTCCAGAGCCAAGTGTCATCCACTGTGCAAATGTCACTCATATGCCCCTCACAGATCCTCAGCAGGCACTGCCTTATTCTGTCTCAATAGCATAGTAGTAAAAGCACAAGTCCAATTACCTACTACAGAACACTATTCCCTGACAGTAGCAGGGAACCTTACTGTACTAAGGAAGGAAATAAACCAAAGGTAACTTAGTCCAAGAGGAATTACCAGAAATATGTATTCCTAGAAACTTTAACATAAATCTCATTTTTTTAACAAAGCAAGAAGGTAAAGACCACATCATGTATTACTCACCTCTGCAGGAAATTCTTTGTCTCTTGATGACTTGTTTGCAGAATCCACATATACTGGATTTCTTAAAAGACTTATTTTTGAAGGTGTGAGACCTTGAAGCTGTTTCTTGAGGCTGGAAGCAAGGAGAATAAAAAAAAGTGAGAATCACTCAGCTTTTGAGTAATAATTTTAAGGGAAATATAAATAATTTATAATAAAAATAGCAGTGGTGTTATATATAACAGTGTATATATATAAAACACTTTAACAGCATACTTCTGTATATAATACAATTTAACAGTAATGTTATATTTAGCAGTATAATAGTAGTAATATGAAAGTGCTCTCACTTACTCTCTCATCCTTGCTCTTCCACTCTCAAGTGTAGGAGACAACAGAACATGAGGAACCTCTTCCATATAAGGACATGGCCACTGCAATTAATTTTTTATCATAATTTCACAATTCCCTCTATAACTTATCTTTTAAGTGGAAATACAGAACAATGTCTATGATATGACCCAACACAGGGTCACCATATGGCCATCCGATGTAAGGTCTTATCTACAAAAAAAACTAGCATTGGTTCAGTTTAAACCGGTTAAAAATATCCTAAGTACTGCCCTATCACCAATTAGCCAATTTAACCAAGGCCTTAAAATCCCTTTGTTTCTTTCCTGCATAAGAAACATAGACTAGTTTAAAGTAGCATTATTTCCACAGTAGCTGAAATATCATATTGAAACATAATGCAATTATTACATTTCTAACTGGGGACAGAATTCAAGAAGTTGATACCATATTTGCAACGTGTATTTTATGGCTTCTGTGACTTAGGAAACATTTAGGTAGAAAAACAGAGAAGGCTACCAAAAGCTGTTGTTATCTTTTCTAGAAGGTGCAGAACAACATTCGTGTTCATTGGCAGACTTCTAAGAAATATCAGTCACTTATTCAGAAATAAATATACATTTCATCAGACCGTGAAAACTTCCAAGCACTCTTCACATTTCTTCATTTTCCATTTCATATTTCACCTTACTGTCCTTAAAATACTGCAAACAAGCCTGCATTCAACACTAACAGCTGTGCTGAGCTTTAGCACAAGCGTCTAGAAGCAGAAAGCTAGACCATTGTAGCACCAGACTTCCACCTGTGCGTTGGTTGAGAGAGCTTCCCAGCATGGTGCAGTGCATACGGTAACATGGTAAAGAGGTATCACAAGATTTCTTTGTGGCTTTAAGCAACCTTAAAGTTGCTTTCACCATCACTCTAGATGAAAGGTTTATTGACTCCAAAAATAACTACAACACAACTACACAACAGACACAAGAACAGTAACAAAAATCAATGACACTTTTCCTATCCAAATGGGCCTATCCAAAACTCCACAAAAGCCCTGAGGAGCACAGATTACAACAACTGACCACACTTAGCAGTGGGGGGACTCAGAGGCTATCCCCACTGGGAGTTCACAGTCAGTTTGATCTTAAGAATAGCTTCACAAAGTATTTTTGGTCTTGCCCGCAGTGTAAAATCAAGATAATTCACTTACATCTATAAACAATAAATTAGAGACTACAGGAATAAACTTTCAGGAAAATCTTTCCCATAATAAAGTATATTAATCAGCAGAATTTAGTGAGAGAAATAATTTACTAGTCCACATCCTTGGAAGTCTAAAAGAGAGGATGAAACATTTGAGAAATACAACTGAATTGTATACTTAATAATGCTTAATAGTGCTTAATAATGTATTGGGTTTGCATGGCCAGGCTTTGATGGGCAGGGTGACTACAGCAGTGGCTTCTATGAGAAACTGATAGAAGTTTCCTCCATTTCTAGCACACTCAATGCCAGCTGGCACCAAAACGGCCACTGCTGGTCAAGGCTCGGCCAATCAGAAATTGTAGTAATGCCTCTATGATAACATTTTTAAGAAGAAAAAAGTTATTGTGCAGATATAATTTTGGCCAGAGAAGAGCAGTGTGAGAATACATAGGAGGAACCACTCCGCAAACACCAAGGTCAGTAGAGACGGAGGGAGCAGAGGTGCTCCAAGTATGGGAGCTGAGCTTCCTCTGCAGTCTGTGTTAAAGACCATGGAGAAGCAGCTGTCCCTCTGCAGCCTACGAAGGATCACAGGGATGCAGAAATCCACCTGCAGCCCATGGAGGAGACCCACACTGGAGCAGATAGATGCCTGAGAGGAGGCTGTAAACATATGGGAGGCCTGTGCTAGAACAGGTTTCTGGCAGGGACCTGCAGAGGAGGGAGCAGGTTTCCTAGTAAGACTTGTGACTCCATGGAGGACCCATACCGGGAAAGACTGTTCTCAAAGAACCCATGGAACAGTGACCGACACTGCAGCAGTTTATGCAGAACTGCAGCCTGTGGGATGGATTCACATCGGTGGAGTTTATGAAGCATTATCTTCCATGGGAGGGACCTCATGCTGGAGGAAGGGGAAAGACTCCTCTCCCTGAGCAGCAGCAGAAACAACTTGTCACCAATTGATGTTCATCCCCATTCCCCATCTCCCTGCACTGCGGGCGGGGAGGAGGTAGAGCTGGTAAAAATGTAGGGGTGGGGAAAGGTATTTTTAAGGTCTAACTTCATTTTTTATTTGCCTGCTCTCATTTTGTTAACAACAAATTAAATTAGTATCTCTAATGTGAGCCTAGTTTGCCCAAGATGGCGTTTGGTGAGTCACCTTGTTGTGGTGTGGTTTTGGATTTTTAACTGTAATATGTTAGATTTTCCTACATTATGAAATGTTTTTTTCCACACCCCCCTGTTCAGTTTCAAAAATAGTTTTTCCAGAGTTGTTTACCCCATTTTTCCCGCCCTTCTTTATGTCAATCCTCATGCCAATCCCCTTTACCCCTCCCATACTTGTAAATCCTCCCTTGTCAATCTTCTAAACCCATCACCTGCAGCTTGTCAATTAGGGTTTGCTGTACCCCTTTTACCAGAAAGTCAGTTCTGTGTCAGTTTCCTGTCTGTCTGTTTCCTCTCATGCATTTGTCTATTATGTATTCACCCCTCCTTGCTTCTGCCTCATTGGTGTTATGTTAATGTAAGCCCACCCTATGCTCCTCCTTGCTAATCTCTAATTGGTTGTAGGCAGTCTCCTCCCGGGGGACTGCCCCCCTTTATAAGCTGTTGTCATGGGTGCTCTCCCGGTTCTTTCCTGAGTGTGCTTCCTGCGAGATGGTACAACAAAACAATCGCGCCACTTCTCTCTCGGGGGAAGAATAAACGTCTTGGAACTTTGCCACCAGAGAGTCCCTCTCTCCCTTTGTGTCACTCAGCGTCGAGGAGGAATCTCTGCGGGTGCCCACCTTCGGCCAGGCCAGGGAGAAGGGGAGGTTCCAGCCGAAAGGCCGAACCTCTACCCTCGGCCCCGGCTAAAGGAGCTCGAGGCAGGGAGCGGCCACTCAGTGGCACCGCTTGGAGGAAAAGGGCTGGGCAGCTAGCCGGTTGCGAGGCTCGCCCTTTCTCCCGGGATCCAGGCTGCGGCATCATCACCTGGCTCTGTCCTTAACTCACAAGCCCTTCCCTGTCCAGTTGCAGACAAAAGTGATAGAGAAGCTTTGGTGGGTGCTGTCATCCAGTCAGAGTCAACCCACTATAGTCTTCTTGGTGCCAAAACCCAGGAAGAGGTCTGCTGTGGTTTAAACCCAGATGGAAATAAAGTGCCACACAGCTGCTCTGTCAGCTCCTCTCTCTCTTTCCCCTCCACCCTGCATGGAATGGGGAGTAGAATTCATGTGAAACTTGTATGTTGAGATAAAAACAATTTATTAATAATTATTATTGTACTTAATTCTCAATGGTAAATAAGAATGATAATAAAAAGGAAATCATAAGCGGTGCATAATGCAATTGCTCACTACCTGCTGACTGATGCCAGATCACCCTTCTGAATGCAGACTGGCCACCCTTTCAGTAATTCATCCCACTTTTTACATACAGGGCATGATGTTTTATGGCATGGCATATCCCTTTGGTCAGTTCAGGTCACCTGTCCCATCTACACTCCCTCCCAGATTGTTTTGCCCACCTCCTCACCAGCAGAGTGTGAGACAAGGGGGAGAAAAAAGTTCTTGACTTAGTATAAACATAACTTGGCAAAACACAAAATATTAGTTTGTTATCAACACCATTTCATACCAAATCCAACACACAGCACTGTAACAGCTACTGAGAAGAATTACCTCCACCCTAGCTAAAACCAGGATAATTAGACACTTTGATCACTCCTTGTAGAAATCAAAGGCACAAATTCCCCTGTATGACATTTGCAGCATGTTACTTCAGGTTAAATTGGATGATATTGTCAGAAGTATGATTCATATCAAAAATAAACAATAAAGAAAAAGAATAGCTGAACTCCAGAATTACATAGGAACATAGCTGATGGCAAACAGATCAAAATTTTTAGTTTTGAAAAATCTTTGCCATGATTGATTCTTTTGCCTTTGAAACTACAGGAGATGTTTTTAAGGAGACGGGTCCGGGAGGAAGAAAAAGTGTCATTACACACAGGTTACTTCTCTAATCCAAGACAAGGAGGTTCTGTACTGGGTTTGGGCATTGTTCCCAAAGAGCTGGGAGTCCCTCATTTCCCTTAGTCCCTCATAGCCTCTTCTACATACACATTTTTAAAAAAAAAGGGGGGGGGGGGGGGGGGGGGGAAGCAATCTCCACTGGTTGCTGCAGTTTCTCTTTGTAGACTTCTAAACAAAAACCCACAATTCTTACTTTAGATTTATCATTCCTTCTTTGTTGGGGTGTGTTGTTTTATGTTGGTTTATTCCTATCACCCCTGTTTGTGTTAATGGTTCTACCCAGACCCTCTCTCTCCTTCTCTCTCCTTGATCGCCCTGCCTGTTATCCCTTTCTCCTCCCTATTCAGTTATTGTATCTCTCCAAACCCCTCCCTGGTTACCTGTCCATCCTTACCGGTGCCCACACCTTTCCATCCAGAACCTTCCACCCTGGGCATCGAGTGATTGGGCCAGGGGCCAGGGCTCCACCCCCAGTTGCCCACCATTGGATACCCGAGTTGTACGTTACTTGTTCATCCCGCCTTTGAAAAATTTTGATTGGTTGTTGCATATAAGTTAT